TGGGGCCACCCAGCTGGTGAGTGGACTGTTGGTGCAGGTCTGCTGATCCAGGTGGGCCCTGTGGGCCTGAAGTGCACACCCTGCCTCCTGCAGGCTCCCTGCCTCCCCCAGGATTCGTCCCATTCAGCATGGGCTCTGTGCCCAGTGGCTGGGAGTACAGAGCTGGGCACAGCCTTGGCCTGCTCCCTAGAGCCCTCAATACCAAGACTCCGGGGTAGGGGAGATGGGCATGGTGAGGACCTCACAAGGCCACAAAAGGTCTGGGGGCCGGATCCCTCGCTGGCAGCCTTGACAAGGCTTCTTTTGTGCCTGACTGGGCAATTCTGCCTGGGTCTGCTCAGATTGCAGAGAGAACCTGGGTGACAGAGGCAAAACAGAGCCCAGTAGAAAGTATCCTTATTGCCTGGGGTCTGATAAGGGCCCCGTAGGAGGGGGCTGCCCGCCAGCTTCACAGATCTGAGTGCTGGAGGAGCTGGAAGGGCCGGCTGGGGCAGTAGCAGCAGACGCTCGCCCCCTCCCCCACCCTGCCCCCTCTCCCCCACTGTGGCGGCTGCTCACTGCACAGTATTGATCTAGCGGCTTCTCACACCAACCCTCTTGGCAGCCCGTGGGGGAGGGCGGACTGACATGGCCCAGTGCCCAGACCCGGCTGGAGATGCTGGGTGTGGGGAAGATTAGGCACCCTTCCCCGTGCTGTGCTGGGCACTGCTCCTGAGAAAGGCCTAGTGTCCCCAGCCTGAGACCAAGAGGAGCTGGTGATGCTTCAGAAGCAGCCTGGTCTAGCCCAGATCAGCTCTGTGACCCTGGGTGAGGCACTCACTATCTCTGAACCTAGCTGTCTGTATCATGAGAATGATCACAAATCCACCTTTCAGGAGTGTTTGTAAGCATTCACTGGGGGCTGGAAGGGGTGGCCTGGCCCAGGCCAGACTCAGGTGCTGTGTTTATGGACTCTCCTGTGGGCCAAGGGACAGGAACCCCCCTTCTGACTCCTGGTGACTGTCAAAACTGTCCCTAATACAAGGAACCTCTTCCTGTCACCTAGAGTCACAGGTAGGGTGAGCCAAGTGGGTGAAGCTTTGCTTCTCAGGTGAGGAAACAGCCTCAGAAAGTCTGTCAGTGGCAGCGTAGGGCAGGATGTGAAGCAGGACTTGGTTTCTTCTACCACCAAGGCCACTGTCTAATGGGAGGGAAGGAGGGCTCTGGGGCCATGAGGGCTTCTCCCCTCTGCATACCTGGTAGCCCCATACTTCCATGCCACTCACCTGAAGTGTCAGTAAATACTAATGGGATGGGGTCTGGAGGTCAAGAAAGAAATTGGCCAGGTGTGGTGGCTCAGCCTGTAATCCCAGCACTTTGGGAGGCCAAGGCGAGTGCATCACCTGAGGTCAGGAGTTCGAGACCAGCCTGGCCACCATAGTGAAACCTTGTCTCTATTAAAAATAGAAAAATTAGCTGGGCGTGTTGCCACACGCCTGTAGTCCCAGCTACTAGGGAGGCTGAGGCAGAAGAATCGTTTGAACTTGGAAGGTAGAGGTTACAGTGAGCAGAGATCGAGCCACTGAACTCCTACAACTCCAGCCCGGGTGACAGAGCGAGACTCTGTCTCAAAAAAAAAAAAAAGAAATAGCTGAGAAGACCACAGTGGCTGGGTCCTCCCACAGCAGCCCATACCCCAAGCTGCAGAGCGGAGGGGCCCTCATGGCCCCAGAGCCCTCCTTCCCTCCCATTTATTAGACAGTGGCCTTGGTGGCAGAAGAAACCAAATCCTGCTTCAAATCCCGCCCTACGCTGCCATTGACAGACTTTCTGAGCCTCAGTTTCCTCACCTGAGAAGCAAAGCTTCCCCAACTTGGCTCACCCCACCTGTGACTATAGGTGACAGGAAGAGGTTCCTTGTATTAGGGACAGTTTTCACAGTCACCAGGAGGACCAGCAAGGGCTTGAACACTTTGGGACTGGGGTTCGTGACCTGGGGACTCATCCTCGCCTTTTGCCCAGTGCCAGCAGAGCAGCTCAGCAAGCTCCCCACCCTGCCCACCTGGAGGCAACAGCACTTGCGGCCCTGCCCTCTGCCGTCTCTTCCCTCCTGTGTTCCGAGCTGTCTCCTGCTTAGTGTGGCCGGGAAACATTCCTGGACACTGGGGAAAGGAGGAAGCTCACAGCCCTATGGGTGATACTGCTGCCACCCAGGCAGATTTATGGGCACTTGGCGTTCATCCACCCTGAGCATGCCTTCACCGCTCAGGCAGTCTCTGTCGGCTTCGTCTTGTCATCCAGAAGCTCGGCTGGTCTGCGTCAAGGCCTACCACTGCCCCCCACTCCCCGACCACTGCCCAAGGGGTGGCTGAGGGTGCACGATTGGCTGATAGCAAGATGGCAGCTCTTCACTTCCCTGGAACTTAATACTGCTTGTCTGTGTGGAAGGTCCATAGTGCCCTTGGAACCCTGCTGGCAACCCCTGAGCTGGCCCTGGGGTTGAAGGGACTCCTCTGCCCTGTCCCCTCTGCTGGTCTCTGGAGCTCTTCACTGCAGACAGATCAGCTCCCTGCTTTCTTCCCTGGGGCCCCAGCCTGAGCCTCCCCTGCCCTCCCCTACTGTCACTCTGCAGATGCTGCTAATCAGCCCCTCAGTGGCCCATGATTGCACTCCCAGAGATATTTTTACCTTATGCAAATAGGTGATGTAGAGGTGCCCTCATCTGCCAGCAGCCAGTCCCCCGCCACTCCCCCGGCCTACAGCTGCATTCCCCTTGCCATTAGAGCTGGCTGAGCATCACGGCCTCGCCGTCTGGATCTCCCCAAGCACCTTCAGGGAAACTGTCCTTTAAAGATGGTGGATCTGCCACCCCACACCCCGCTAGCACAGGAGACCTGGGAAATGGTTTCCCATGCTTGGGAAGAACAGGGAGAGTCCCACAACATGCCAGTATCTTACTGAGCTGTGGGAATGCATCCAGGGCCAGAAAGGTGAGGAGTGCTTGTGGAGGGGCCCTGGGGGGCTCCTGCCTCCCCCTACTCTGGGGTCCTGGTGGAGCCTGGCCCATCAGCCCTCTTGGTGGGAGGCCAAAGGCTGCCTGCCCAAGGGACAACCACACGGGCCCCTGGTCTCTGTCATTTGCACATTTGTTGAGAACCATCTGCTGCCCAGGATGGTGTCAGGCACTAAAGTGCACATTCCCATTTCATCCTCTCAGAAACCCAGGCCATAAGGCAGGTCCTGGTGCTACCCCCCTTTTACCGGTAACTGACTGAGAGATAAGGAGGTGGAGCCACACCTCAAAAACTGCCAGGGGCTGCCTCCCTCTGCCTGTCCTCAGAGCTGGTGGTTTCTCAGCTCTGTGTTTCCACCTCATTGCTCTGGGGCTGCTTCCCGGGTCCTGAGAGGCCTCCAAGCTGTGGCCACACATCCAGTCTGCAACCCCAGCAGCTTCTCCAGGCTGCCGTCCTTGGCTCAGCAGCTGCTTCGTCTATCAGCAGCCTGGGTGCCGCTGAGCTGCCCTGCCCAGCCACACCAGGGGCCTGGCCGGGTGCCAGGGCTGGGCCAGTGGATGGCAACGAGACAGCAAGTGCCTGAGGTATGAGATGTGACGTTGGTGGCAGGCAGATATGCGAGTGTGGCCTAGCCGGCCAATATGGCTGTAAGCCTAAAGCAACCACCGTGTCCAGCTACTGCCCTGATCCCTGGACCCCTGGGGCAGCCCTCACCTCCCAGAGTACTCGGGGCAGGCCTTAAGAGTTTCTCCTTCTGGAGACCCCCAGACTCCCAGAGAAGTCAGACTGCCTGCCATGGCAGTCAGCGTGCTCTTGAGGGCTTGAGGACATGAAGCAGGCAGGCAGAACTCCCTCTCTACCACAGCTCGGCCTGGCTCTGCCCTCTTGCTTAGCCATGCAACTTGTGGGGTGTAGGTTCCTTGCTTTATGGGTATGCTGGGTCTCCCAGAGAGACTGTAAGTTCCTGAAGGCCAGAATGCCTCAGCTTAGTCCTCCAGCTGGCACAGAGGGGGCTCAGAAACATCTGGCAGGGTGGGTTTGTGGATGGATGAGAAGACTTGCCACGTGAGCCGTGGAGAGAGAAGGGCACACCCGTTGTGTACTAGCTTTTTCCAAGGCTGTCTTCCTCAAACCTCACCCCCCTCAACAGCCCATGGCTCCCCATTCTATGGATGAGGAGGCTGGGGCCCAGGGAGAATAAAGAGTTTGTGGCAGAGCAGGGACCGGGCTTCAGGCTTCTGTCTAAGCCTCGAGCCTGTGTGGTTCCTGCATCTGTCCACTCCTTCTAGGAGATTTAAGGAGCAGTACCAAAGGGCGAAGGCTCAAGAGGTTCTGAATCCTTTTGGGTCCTGGCAGTCTCCTTGGCATGGTAAGGGCCCACCCTGGAGGGGCCAGTGCAGTAGTCAGGTCAGCTGCTGTGGACCGTCCTTGTGGACATGGCTTCCGTCCTAATGGGGGAAGACAAATAGCAAACACCTAAGTGAAATATACAGTGCATCAGATGGTGATAAGCATTCGAGGAAGGAGGGGCTGCAGGGGTAGCCAATGGGGCCTTTTAACATAATGTCAGAGAACACCTCTTAGATAAGGTGGTGCTGAAACAGCGACCTGAAGAAAGTGAGGATGAAAGCCACATGGTTGTCTGGCAAGAGAGTGCATCAGGCAGTTGGGGTGGTGGTGGCAAGGTCAGAGCTAAGGTGGGGTCATGGAGTAAGGGCCTTATGGCTCCTGTACACATGGCTTTTCCTGTGCAATGGGAAATCTTCAGAGGGTTCTAAGCAGAGGATTGGCCAGACCTGGCCTTTGTTCTGGCTCTTATGTGAGGGAGATGATGAGGAAGGTGGAAACAGAGGAGGGTGCTGAGGCTCACACAGTCACGTGGGCAGGAGGTGAGGACGGCTCAGACAGGGCAGAGGTGGTGGAGGTGGTGGGAAGCAGTTGGCGCAGTCTGCATATTTGGAGGTAGCAGTGCCGGGACCTGCTGACGGAGTTGTGGCTTCTTTGCAGAACTGGCTGCGGCTCTATGGCTACCTACCCCAGCCCAGCCGCCACATGTCCACCATGCGCTCTGCCCAGATCTTGGCCTCAGCCCTCGCAGAGATGCAGCGCTTCTACGGGATCCCAGTCACGGGTGTGCTCGATGAAGAGACCAAGAAGTGAGTCCTCCTATTCAGACCCCACAAGCACCTGCCCTCCATCTGGCCTGCTCTCAAAAGTCCTTGGCATATGGGGTTTCCAGAAAAGAGTGGCCTGGATAAGAGATGGCAAATGGTTGGGTTCTCTGTGCCAATTCTGATTGGTTGGAGTGGCTACCAATAGCCTTGTGTTGAGAAATCTCCAGGGGCAGAATCCAGGCCTTGGCAGTAAGGAGCACAGTGATCGATTAGTGATGTCTGCCATGGCCAAGGGAGTGTGGAGGCTCCGTGCAGGTGCTGTGGATGGGAATTCCTAGCTAGGCATGGCTATGAACCTAAAGGCATGTCCCTGAAAACAATGCACAGAGCATAATGTATCCAGGACAGAAGGCCTTGAGCAACCCTTCATTACTGGGTGATAAGGAGAGAAGGGCTCACCTTGGCTGAGCCACTCCTGGGCACTCAGCCCATTTTACTGGAAGTTGAAGCTGACAGTCCCCTAACCCCACCACGTCATAGGAGGGGCAGCTGGGAAGCCTGGAAGAGGCAGCGCCAGAACAGGAAGGTGTGTTCACCTCTCTCTTTCCATGTTCCAGGTGGATGAAGCGGCCCCGCTGTGGGGTGCCAGATCAGTTTGGGGTACGAGTGAAAGCCAATCTGCGGCGGCGGCGGAAGCGCTATGCCCTCACCGGGAAGAAGTGGAACAACCACCATCTGACCTTCAGGTAGGGGCTCAGCTGCCCAGGGAGGTATCTGCTCCTCGGCAGGTTGAGCCTCAGGCTTCCTTTCCCAGAGCCCACCTCAGGGCGCCTAGCCTCAACAGTCCAGGCAGTCTCCCTCAAGGGAAGGTCAGGACCCTTCAAGCTGCTTCCACTCTGTCTTTCCCCACCTCCCACCAGCCTGCAGGCAGGGGCTGGCTTTACTGGGCCCAGCTGGGCTACTGCCCCAGCACAGACTGCGGTGAGGGGCAGGGGTGGTTGGGGTGAGGAATCCAGGCATCCCTCAAGTGAACAGGCAGCAAGTGGCTTGCAGAATCCTCGAATCAGGGGCTCTCATCCTTTTTGCTGAGTCCTTGAGCAAGAAAACTCCCCGGCCAAGTGTGCCTTGAGCCATGTCGTTGTCCCCAAAGGCAGTCTGGCTCTGTCCCCACTTCAAGCTCCATCTCCCAAAGAAGAGCAGCTCCCGTGTTCACTTAGACCTCAAGCCCCCAGAGTGAATTCAAGGTCCAACCAGCCAAAATACTCCCTTCAGGTTTAACGAAAGCTTCTCTAGCACACAGTGCTGAATCTGATTTATATGGGTAAGAGCACGCCTCGCCATACTTCATCAAATGCAGGCTCTGGCTACAACCTACTTCCTCTAATCCTCGCTGGAACCCTATAAAGAAAGTACCCCCCCACCACACACACACACACACACACGCACGCACGCACGCACGCACCCTTTTCTAATTTAACAGATAAACTGGAAATCAGCCAGGCACAGTGGCTCACGCCTGCAGCCCCAGCACTTTGGGAGGCCAGGGCGGGCGTATCACCTGAGGTTGGAAGTTCAAGACCAGCCTGAACAACATGGAGAAACCCCGTCTCTACTAAAAACAAAATTAGCTGGGCATGGTGGTGCATGCCTGTAATCCTAGCAACTCGGGAGGCTGAGGCAGGAGAATCGCTTGAACCCGGGAGGTGGAGGTTGTGGTGAGCCAAGATCGAACCATTGCACTCCAGCCTGGGCAACAAGAGTGAAACTCCATCCCAAAAAAAAAAAAGAAACTGGAAATCAGAGAGACTGAATCACTTACCCAAGATTACACAGACACTGTTAGAGCCAGGTCTTGAACTCAGGTCTGCTTGACCCTGGAGCTCGACATCAGAACTGCTCAGCCTATGTTTCCCAAACCTCACCTATTTGCATCCCATTTTCTAGTTCTTTCCTCCAGCCACATAGCACCTATATTTTAATTTACATAATGTCTCTCTTACTTAAAATCAGCTTATTTGCCACAATGCAATCTTAATTCAATGATCTCTTCATGATCTCCTGGATTTGACAAATTCAATTTATGATTTACATCAAACCAGACTGCCAGTTGATACTGATGGGCTTGTTGGTGACCTTGTGTGTACTCTTGGGAACATGCCAGCAGACGATAGTAGGCCCTTGGCCCCGCCTCCGCTCACTCATCTCCCACCCGCCCCCAGCATCCAGAACTACACGCAGAAGCTGGGCTGGTACCACTCGATGGAGGCAGTACGCAGGGCCTTCCGCGTGTGGGAGCAGGCCACGCCCCTGGTCTTCCAGGAGGTACCCTACGAGGACATCCGGCTTCGGCGGCAGAAGGAGGCTGACATCATGGTACTCTTTGCCTCTGGCTTCCATGGCGACAGCTCGCCGTTTGACGGCTCGGGTGGCTTTCTGGCCCACGCCTATTTCCCTGGCCCCGGCCTGGGCGGGGACACCCATTTTGACGCAGATGAGCCCTGGACCTTCTCCAACACTGACCTGAGTGGTGAGGACAGCTGGCCAGGGTGGGGCAGGGCAGGTGGCGCCGGACTGGGCACAGTGCCCTGCTGAGTGGGTTCAGCGGCCGCTGAAGAGAGGAGAGAGTTCCCTGGGTTGGTCTCGGGATCACTACATTCGATCTCAGTCTGTTGCCCTACCATCAAAAAGGGGAGGCGAGAGGGATGATTGTACCCATTTCTCAGATGGGGTTGTTGTAGGCCAAAAGAGCTCAGCCTCTTCCAAGAGGGAAGCAAGGGCAGGCTCTCTTGTGGCCTCAGCCTGGAGGGCCCAGGGTGGTCAGGTCCTGGGACTGGCCAGAGCTGACCGTGCTGCTCCTTCTTCTCCCCAAAAGGAAACAACCTCTTCCTGGTGGCGGTGCACGAGCTGGGCCACGCGCTGGGGCTGGAGCACTCCAACAACCCCAGTGCCATCATGGCACCCTACTACCAATGGAAGGACGTTGACAACTTCCAGCTGCCCGAGGACGACCTCCAGGGCATCCAGCATCTCTACGGTGCGTGCGCTGTGGCCAGCGGGCCCAGCATGCCACTCTCAAGTCCCCGCCCGTTGAGGAGGAGGCACTACCGCCATCCCCATTCTGGAGATGAGGAATCCGAGGCCCAGTGAGGATTAGTGACTTGCCCTCATCATTTGGGGAGTAAATGGTGGTGCTGGGAATAAAACCCAGGGCTGGCTGCCTCCAGGGCCTGGCCCTCACTCGAGGCTGTGGCTGCTGGCCGGAGGCCTTGAAGGGACACAGGTGGCACCAGTGTTCCCCATGACCCTCCTCTCCTCCTCACCCTTGGCGGTATTCTTACTAGACCACCAGTGCCTGGGTGATCCCAGGGCCCTCCCCCTCCCACCGTCACTCCCAGCCTGTCACAGCTCTGCCCCGAGTGTTGCTGGTTTATCACTTTCCAGTGGCTTTGATCAAGTGCCACCTCCCACCCAGGGCCCACCCAACAAAGTCTCCAGCAGTGAGGTCCCCTGGGCCAGTTCAGTGGGCCAAGGCCTGCACTCTGCCCACACAGAGCCCTCGGGGCTGGCAGCTCCCACTGTACTGGGTACTTGATGGGTGCCCCTTGCTGTATCCCCAGCAACTTGGAAATGCAGAGTCCAAGATGCTTGAAGCCAGGGCCTGGAGCCTCTGCTGGAGCAGGCTGGCGTCCTGAGGGAATGTCCCCAAGGGGACATTGTACAGGCAGGCAGCCTCAGGAGCACAGTGACCCAAGCCCAGTGTGGGGAGGTCGAGGAGGGGCTGGAAGGAGGACCCAGGTCCCACAGAGGATGGAGGCGGGTGTTGGGGAGGAGGCTACTGATGGACAAGACTTTACTTTCCACCTGGGTGGGTCTATGCTGGGGGCCCTGGGACCCAGGGTTCTGAGTGGGAGTACAGACCTCACTTCTGAACCCCCGCCTCTCTGTAGGTACCCCAGATGGTCGGCCGCGGCCCACCCAGCCTCTCCCCACTGTGATGCCACGGCGGCCAGGCCGGCCCGACCACCGGCCTCCCCAGCCACAACCCCCAGGTGGGAAGCCAGAGCGGCCCCCAAGGCCGGGCCCCCCAGCCCAACCCCGAGCCACAGAGCGGCCCGATCAGTATGGCCCCAACATCTGCGACGGGGACTTTGACACAGTGGCCATGCTTCGCGGGGAGATGTTCGTGTTCAAGGTCTGGCCCTGCCTCCCATGCCTGTCCCTGAGCCTTGCCCTCCCCGGCTGCTCCAGGCCCCTGTCCCACCCTCACTCAGCAGACCCCGGGAGCCAGAAGCCTTCAGCTCTAGACGGGGAGGAAGGCGGCCCGAGAGGTTGAGGGACTTGCCCAGGGTCACACAGCAAGCCCAGGTGCCAGCTCCCCGTTCCTTGTGCAGCCCTGGCTTTCCAAGCCGCTGCCTGCCTCAGCATCTCAGTGTCCTTTCCTTGGGCCCAGCCTCACCTGGGAAGGGCGGTTTGAGGACGGCACCTCTCCCAGCCAAGGCAGCAAGCCCTGCTGCCTGCTCACACCACGTCCTCCCCAGGGCCGCTGGTTCTGGCGAGTGCGGCACAACCGCGTCCTGGACAACTATCCTATGCCCATCGGGCACTTCTGGCGTGGTCTGCCTGGTGACATCAGTGCTGCCTATGAGCGCCAGGACGGTCGTTTTGTCTTTTTCAAAGGTGAGCGAGGGTAGGGTTAGGGGGCTGGGCAGCCTTCCTGCCGTGACCTCTGACCCTGCTGGACCCAAGGGAAGAGAAAGTGAAGGGCTGCATTGCATGTCTGATCCAGTGCCCCTACTGTGGGCTCACTCTGGGAGGGTGGGGACACGGCAGCAAGGCGGGGATGGGAGGAAGACAGAGGCCAGGGGCAGGGTTGGACCTGCGGCCTCGAAGTGCCTGTCCACCCCATGCAGCACAGGGCTCAGCCTCTTCCCTCTGTCCTTGCCTCTTTGCCTCCTGCGGCCTCATCCTCATAGGAACAGGTGCCCCCCAGCCCACTCTGGGGCTGGATTTCTGTGGTCTGTCTGCAGAGATGAGGCCTTGCAGGGCAGCGCCCTGTGATGGATTTGCCAGGGCTTGGACCTCACTGTCCTGAGCTTCAGTGAGGCAGGAGCTCCCTGAGGACAGGTCTGGGCTCACATTAAAAGCAAGGAGCCCTGGGCCACATGCTGTGAGGGCTGCGGGTGTGCCCCCAGACCCAGAGGCCAGGCACCCCCTCCCCATACAGAGCTATATGTGCAGGGTTGGGTTTGCACAGGGAAGCGAGGACCGTGGGTGGCATGGGGGAGTGTGCGGATGTGAGCAGGTGACTCGTGCTCATGGGAACAAGTGTGCCTCAGGTGTCCTTGAGTGCAGTGATGCGTGGGTGACCACAGTGTATGTTGTTACAGATGTGCAGAAGGGTGTGAGTGTGATTTTGTGTGCTTTAGAGGGATGGCAGTGGATGTGAATGGATTTGTGGGCACAGAAGAGCATTCTTTTCCCACACACACCCCTCAGCCCCCGGCCTGTCCTCACTCTGCCTCCCACCCATCCTGCAGGTAACCGCTACTGGCTCTTTCGAGAGGCGAACCTAGAACCTGGCTACCCACAGCCGCTGACCAACTATGGCTGGGGCATCCCCTACGACCGCATCGACACAGCCATCTGGTGGGAGCCCACGGGTCACACCTTCTTCTTCCAAGAGGACAGGTGAGCAGTACATGCCCTCTCCAAGGGGAGAAGGACCCAGCTAGGCCCCCCTCAACCTCAGGCTTACCCAGAAAGAATCCCCTGCCTGTGGGGAATTAATGGGTCCTGGCCCATGAGGGTCTTCAGGTCCACAGCCTGGTGCTTTTGGTCTCAGGTACTGGCGCTTCAACGAGGAGACGCAGCGTGGAGACCCTGGATACCCCAAGCCCATCAGCGTCTGGCAAGGGATCCCTACCTCCCCTAAAGGGGCCTTCCTGAGCAATGATGGAGGTACCTGGCCAGCCCCTCCCAGTTTGCCCAGCACATACCATACCCCCTGCTACATACCATGGGGCAGGGCTTGCCCCATGTCACCCAGTGTTGTGATGGTGTGTATGTGGGACATGCTGTGTCATGCTCTGGGCTGGGAGCTTACCTAGCTTGACACCCTGGTCCTTCCTGCATAGTTAAAATTCCTTTTTACAGATAGGCAAACTAATAAACCAGCAAGCTTGAGCGGAGTATGCCAAATCACACAGCCAGGAAGGTGCAGGGTCAGGATTCCAGCCCAGTCCTGCCTGTGTTGGAGCTGGAGCTCAGCACTGCCCTGATGCCTGCAGAAGCCAGCTGCCCTCAGGCTATCCTAGGGGAGCCTTGAGCCTGAGTGGGACAGGCTTGGCTCAGAGTGTTAGGGGGTGAAAATCCTGCCAGGATATCTACCTAGAAGGAAAGCCCTGTCTCTGTCATTATAACTAAGAGACAGGGAGTTGTGCCTCTTCTATTTCTCCAGCAAGGTCTCTAGTGCACTTAAGAAAAACCAGGGCCGGTCACAGTAGCTCACACCTGTAATCCCAGCACTTTGGGAGGCTGAGGCGGGAAGATCACAAGATCAGGAGTTTGAGACCAGCCTGACCAACTTGGTGAGACCCTGTCTCTACTAAAAATACAAAAGATTAGCTGGGTGTGGT